GATCGAGAAAATTGAACAAGTTCGAATGACTGACGACTGAACGATTGTAGTATAAAATAAGTCGTAAATTTAGACTGTGGTATAAAATTACCTAAGGGAATACCGTTTGTAAGTCTGTACATACGTATGGGAATACCAAAATATTATGTAGGGTACCCAGACTTTCTTTTCAGCGCGTAGCCGACCTGTGGCGCTAAAGTCGCCCAAAGTCGCCGCGATCAATTCAAATTGTAAAAATTAAATAACAATTTTTTTTTTTCAAATCTGGTTTATTGAAAATTATAAAATTATTATCATTCAACAAAATTATAAGTAAGAGAATACAAAATTCAAGTAAATTTTATGAAGTGAAATTTTCATCATAAAATTAGTTTAGATAAATTAACATATATGTTATATTAGGGTGTCCGTTATTTACCAATTTGGTTTTTGACTTTGCAGTGCCCATTAGATTTTTAGTTCGTGACCTATTAAAAAATATCAAACCCATATAAGCCCTTAATATTGATATTGAACTGTGCCACAAAGACGATACATTTCTCATTTAAATAACATGGGGTTTTGGGACGTTTTACAATTAATTTTGTTTGTTTCTATGTATAGAACGTTCAATTTTCTACAAAAATACTTGTTTGCCATTGCCATTTATCGATTGGCATAGAAACAAAAAAATTGATTGTACAACGTGCCAAAACCCAAAATTATTTAAATAGGAAATGTATCATCTTTGTGGCACGGTTTAATATCAATATTAAGGGCTTATATGGGTCTGATATTTTTTATTAGATCACGAACTGATAATCTAATGAGCACTGCAAAGTCAAAAACCAGATTGGTAAATAACGGACACTCTAATATTACTTTCAATAGTTATGTTGTGATTAAATCACTAAGGTAATCAGTCATCGGCATTGAATAATTATCTTTCTTATTTTAAACTGCGCTATCAATTGAATTACAACTGAAAATCGTCACCAAGCTTAGTAGAATTATTCCCCAAATATTTAAATTAACATAAACATTGACTAAATTTTATGTAGTAATATTCATGAAATATAAAATTAATTTAGATGAATTAACATATATTTTCATCATAATATTGTGTTTAAATTACTCAGGTAATCACACTCAGTCATCAGCATTAAATTATTATCTTTCTCATTCTAAAAGTGTGCAATTATACGTATTGCAATTGAATAATAATTATGAAACGATATATCCCGCGGAAATAAAGCGCTCTTTACAAATTACGAATTTATAGTACATTTAGCAGCCATCAGACTGCGCTGAAGTTTTTTTGCTGAAAGTACTTTTAAAAAAAACTTGAAATGTATTTCCTACGTCTATTTATTTTTTTGTTTTCTGTTTTTTAGGAAAATAAAGAAGTTAATTGATATTTTATCTATAAAATTCATAAATTGATTAAACATGTAACATTATCAATATAGTAACTTATAATTAGTTTCTTTAAAATAAATAATTCAAACAAAACGCGGATAAAATCTCGATGGTTATCAGCAATCGATACATTCCGTCAAGGTAAAAGGAAAAAAATATAACGATAGTAAAGTCAAATCAAAACATCGATTTAAATAGGCGAATAAAAACAAAACCTTGCAATAGTTTTGGAATAATGTAATAAAATTAAAAGTAATCGGAACTTGAACTCGTTCTTATTATTATTTCTTATTTTATAATTTCGTATAAGTAAATTTTAAATGTCAGTTTATTGTTGACGTATTGGCCCATTTGTCCACGTCAAAGTGCTAGAGAGGTTAAGACACATTGGATACCGTGTATGAAAATTCACGGTGATGGCTATGGAATTTTTATTTAATCGGCTGAAAGCACTTTTTGTATTTTTATTAAGTATTTTTAAACGTGCCTTATGTTGTCTCAGACGGAGAAGAAGATCTTCGTGCGATTCTATTCCGCTGTCAGCTGTTGGTGTTATACCTAATTCTGTTAATAACAAAGTGGTACGTCTCTTTCTATCTCTTTTTTTTTAATTAAATTGCAAGTTAATTATGCAATAGAATAGTAATTATTTTTAATTGCAGGAACAAGAAAATTGGGAGCAATGGGATGAAAATCCTGTGGTTGTTGTGTCAAATAAACCATGTAATACCGTTCAGAGTAAAATAGAACAGTACCGTCAACAAATTGCTAAAGTTCCTGAAGCTGGGGAAGAAACTCAAGTTGATTTCTTTCAGGTACATTTATTTATAATTATTAATTAGATGAATGATAGTTTTTTTTTTTTTGAAATTATAGAATATAATTCACGGCAAGTAATTGTCGAAATTATTTTCTTATAAATTTCATTTTTTTTCATCAAGATCTATGTATTATTTTGAATATGCAATTGATAAAAAATTTAACTTGGATTAAAAAACAAGATATCAAATCAAAATTATTAATTTGAAGAATTATTTAATTACAAAATTTTTCTTCTTGAATCAAGATTTTTTTTTCTTAAATCTTAAAATTTTTTATGAATTTTCTCAGTCAAAAATTTACATATAGTATTCATTAAAAATTTTATATTTAAACTAGAGTTAAGATTACAAAATCAGTTATTTGACCATTTTTTATTTTTTTTTTTTTTTAAATTAACCAGTATGGAAGAAATATAAAAAAAAATTGGACATAGTTTTTTTATGTACCTGAAGTTCCGAACGTTCATTTATGAACGAAAATCAAAAAAAAATTTTTTTTGCTCCTGAAACTGAAAATGGTTTTTCAGATTCGAATAGAGACAGTGAGCCCTAAAAATGATATATTAGCTCCTCAAAACACAAAAACCACCCCTCCAGCCACCCCAAAAACTTACACTTGGAAAAAACAATTTAAGATAAAATCCTTCCGAGGGCCCTTTGAAGCTGGCGATTTTTTGTAGGACTCCCACAACACCTCCACACAATATAAAAAATCACCAAGGCATTAGCTGCCCCGGAACTACCCCTCCAGCCACCCCAAACACTTACGACATTAAAAAAAAATTCTGAAAAAATCCTTCCGAGGGCCCTTTGAAGCTGGCGATTTTTTGTTGGACTCCC